TCAAAGTTTTTTTTTAATTTAAAAAAAAAAAACCAAAAGACCCCCCCTCCCCCCCCCAAAAAAAAAAAAAAAAAAAAAAAATTCAAATTTCAATAATTTTTTTTTCTTCTTCTTCTGAATCAGCGGTAGTTACCCCGGATTCAAAGATTTTTTTTTTTTGTTCAATTGATTTAACGTAATTATCAATCAATCAATCAATCAATGACGAAAAATGTAATTTTACATAGTAAAGAAAATTACAAATTTTATGATCAATACAACAAAATCAATACAAAAAAAGAGAGGATGTATATATTTGTTTAATGTCACCAACAACATTGTTGTCGTCATTAATGACAAGGATAATTTGAAGAAAAAAAAATAACTGAATAAATCCAATCAATCAATATTCAAAAAAAAAAAATTTGATCATTGATTGATTGGTGACAAAGTTTAGTTTATTGTTTTTTTTTGTTTTTGTTTTGTTTAAACTAAATTCTACATCATATTTTTATTATAAACTAAATTCTGTGATTAATTAATTTAAAAAAAATTGATTAGTGATTGATTGATAGACATAAATATCGATCACACACACACATATATAGGTGACAATCGATTGCCTTCGGTTGAAAAAGACATTGTGCTAATAAACACAAACATCACTATTTTACTACAGGTGTGTGTGTGTAAATGATTGATTGAGATTTACAACAAGAAGAAGAAGAAAAAAAAATTTGACTACCTAAATGCAAAATGATTGAAATTGAATTTGGTTAAATTTACATTTTTCCCCATTCAATCTAAAGTGTACGATTTTTTTTTTGCTTTTTCTCGAATACAGAACACAACCAACAAATTTAACCACATACATTTGAGAGATTGAATCAAAAAAAAAATTTCATGTTTTTTTTCAGATAGCTAAAAATATTATTACGGTAAATATTTTTTTTTTTCAATCAATCAAATGAATAGTTTAGCTAGCAATAATTATTCATTTACAATAATAACATCAATCGAATTAGTGTCCCCAGAAAAAAAGTGATCATTTTTTTTAATAATAAAAATTTTTTTACATTTTCTTTTTCTTCTTCTCTTTCTTTTTCTTCAAACAAAACAGAATTTCTTTTTAATACACAGCAAATTTAGTTCAAAAAAACAGATTATAATAATAATTAATAATTAATAATGGACAGCAATAATAATACATCAATCACCAATAACAGCAATATTCAATTAAGTCCAACAAAACAACGACAAATGGCCAATACAAATGGTAATATGAATGGTGTTGGTAATTTGATAAATGATGATGATATAAAAATATTAGATCGTATTAGTTGTGATGGACAACAATTTGAACAAACTATTCGTCGTCAAGCACATTTAAAATCAATTGATGAATATTATCAACTTTATGAACAATCAATAAAATTACCGGGTGAATTTTGGAAAAATGTTGCACGTGATTTTTATTGGACAACACCATTACCTGAAAATAATGATAAAATTCTTGATTATAATTTTGATATTAATTCTGGTTCGATTAAAATCGAATTTTTAAAAGATGTACGAACAAATATTACTTATAATCTATTGGATCGTATTATTAATCGTGGATTTGGTGATCGTATTGCATATTATTGGGAAGGTAATGAATTAAATGAACGACAACAGGTTACATATTTGGAATTACGTTCAAAAGTTTGCCGTATGGCTAATGCATTAAAACGTATGGGTATTGGTATTGGTGATCGTGTTGCTATTTATTTACCGGTTACAATTGAATTAGTTGTAGCAATGTTAGCATGTGCTCGTATCGGTGCTATTCATACTATTGTGGTAAGTAACGAATGATTTTATTGATGATGATCATACAGTTATGTTATCATCAATTTTTTCCACATCCTCAAAAAAAAATAGTTTGCTGGTTTCAGTGCACATTCACTTGCTGAACGTATGTGTAGTGCAAGGGTTAAAATTTTAATTACAGCTGATGCATCATTTCGTGGTGATAAATTTCTTCATTATCAACCAATTATTGATGAAGCAATTAGTAATTGTATTGAACGTAAATTATCATTAAAATCAGTTATTATTGTTAATCGTTTTGATCAATCAATTCATCGTAATAAAAATCAATATGAATCAATTGTTGAACAATATCAATCTAAATATGAACATTTATTTGTATCATGGAAACAAATTAATGAAAATGAATTGGATAATTGTGAACCAGAATGGTTATCAGCTGAACATCCATTGTTTATTCTTTATACAAGTGGTTCAACTGGTAAACCAAAAGGTGTTTTACATACAGTTGGTGGTTATATGTTAACAACAGCTATTGTATTTAAATATGCATTCAATTATCGTGATGGTGATATATTTTTTTGTACGGCTGATCTTGGTTGGATTACTGGTCATACAGCTAATGTTTATGGTTCATTAGCAAATGGTGCTTCAATTATATTGTTTGAAGGTGTTCCTATTCATCCAAAACCTGATCGTCTTTGGACAATTATTGATGAATATCGTGCAAATATTTTCTATACTGCACCTACTGCAATTCGTTCATTAATGAAATTTGATGATAAATATGTTCGTTCACATGAAATGAATGAATTAAAATTAATAGCAATGGTTGGTGAACCTATTAATCGTGATGCATGGTTTTGGGTTTATCGAATGATTGGTAAAGAACGTTGTCCAATTATTGATACATATTTTCAAACTGAAACAGGTGCACCAATGATTTTTCCAATACCAAATATTATTGATTTAAAACCTGGTTCAGCTACAGTACCATTTTTTGGTATTTTGCCGGTTATTCTTGATGAAAATGGTAAAGAAATTTTAGGTACTGAATCCGGATTTCTTGCATTTAAAGTAAGTTTTTTTTCGATTGTTTGTTTTCTGGTTTAACAAACATTTTTTTTGTTGGTCACTTACAGCAAGCATGGCCGGGTATAGCACGTACAATTGATGGTGATCATGAACGTTTTGAATCCACTTATTTTGAACGATTTCCTGGCTATTATTTTACCGGTGATGGTAAATATTATGCATTGAAAACGATTGTTTCAAAATTATCAATAATTTTTTGTTTGTTTGTTTGTCGTTTTGTATATATAGCTGCTTATCGTGATTCTGATGGTTATTATTGGATTACTGGTCGTACAGATGATCTATTAAATGTATCTGGACATTTATTATCGACAGCTGAAATTGAATCAGCTATATTAAAAGATAAACGTATTGCTGAAGCTGCTTCAGTACCAATGCCACATTCAATTAAAGGACAATGTATTTGTGCATTTATTGTAACAAAAAATGGTTATAATTATGATAATAATTTTGAAAAAGATATACGTAATCAGGGTATGTTAATGTTGTTGTTGTTGTTGTTAATTTTATGTTTATTCAAATCATTTTTGAATTATTAATTTTCAAAGTTCGTCATGAAATTGGACCGGTCGCTACACCTGATCTCATATTGAATGTTCGTGCATTACCAAAAACACGTTCAGGTAAAATAATACGACGTGTATTGGCAAAAATTGCTTGTGGAGAAAAATCAAATTTCGGTGATATATCAACAATGACCGATGAAACAATTATTCAACATTTAATTGATATACGTATGGAACATTCTGGTTAATTATTTTTAATAATAATCAATCGATCATCGTTAATTATTAATCATCAATCAATCAATTTTGATTCTTTTTCGTTTTGTTATCGAAAGAAAAATTGATATAGATTTTTCCAAAAAAGTAATTAGTGTTTTTCTGTGCTCATATGTGTGTTAGTGTGTTTGTCTAATTTCGGTTCAATTTAATTCATCATATTTGTCATTGAGAAAAAATTAAATTTTCTCTTTTTTTCAAAACTTAAAAACAAGAAAACAAATAGCATCTTCATTGATAATATTTTGTTGTTGTTTTTTTTTCTTTTTGGTAGTAGACAAAATTTATATTCAAAAAAAAAATATAATAATTAATGTTATTCAACGTTATTATAATATAAAAAAAATTTAATGAACAACAAAAACATTTATTCATTATTCAAACGCGCATTATATACACACACATATCGTTAAATTCATATATAGTTTGGTTGATTTGTTTTGAATTTTTGGGTTGAAAATTTTAATTAAAGAAAAAAAAATAAATAACAATAAATTTAACAATAAAAAATAATAATTTGTTGCCAAATTGCTATGTTTATAATTAATTAATCAATTTTTTTTTAGATAAATAAAAATTAATTTATATAAATTTAATTAAATTTTTGTCCAACATTTTTTTAAAAAATGATTTATTTGGCTAAATTTTTGTTAGCATTCCAATAATCAATAGTTTGCATTTCATATAATCTTGATAATGCACGTTCAAATGCAAACATTTCTTCTTCACCGCTAAATATTGATGCATTAAGATCATCCGATGTCATACCAAGATCATCCATTAATTTACGATTATCATCATTAGCTAGTACATCTTCAATACGTTGTACCTGAAATAATTCATCACAAGGTACATCACTAGTAAACATACAACGTACATGATGATCATAAAATGTATCAATCATTGTTATAAATCTTCTTGCCTGTCCACGTAATTTCATTGTTAATTTAGGTATATCACGTATGATAACCGTATGATAATATTGAGCAATTGTTAGATAATCAATTGCACCTAATGGTTGATCACATAATTCGTCAAATGATGAATCTAATACACCACCACATGTACGTTTTAATGTTACATTTCGTCCTTTAATTGTCAATGTTTTTGGCCGTATTGAATCATTTTCATTATTAGCCAATACTTTAAACATTAAATTAATTGTTTTATCCGTATCTTTATTATTAATATAATAAACTTGATGTTTTTTTGAATCAACTAGACGACGATAATCAATACCGGATGCTAATTCATAAACATCACAATGTTTTTTTAATAGATCAATAAATGGTAAAAAATTACTACGTTGAAGTCCACCTTTGTATAATTCTATTTCCAAAAGAGAGAGAGAGAAAGAAAAAAAACAAACAAATTAATCAATGAAAGTCAATCTGATTGTAAAAAATATTACCATCAGGAGGACGATTCGATGTAGCAATCATAACCATACCATGGGCAAATAATTGTTTAAAAAAATGTTTCAATATCATTGCATCACCAATATCGGTAACTTGAAATTCATCCAGACAAATAAACCATGATTCTTCAACAATATCCTGGGCGATAATCGGTATCGGATCAAAATCAAATGATGCACGTTTACGACCATCCATGGTGCTGCTTAGGACATTTCTTGATTCATTTCGTCGTTGCTTATGTTGATGAAAACCTTTTGGTTTTTTTCCAGAAAAAAATCAATTAATTAAAATATTTGTGGTAAGAACAAAATGATTGATCAACTTACGATTATGAAAATCTAACATAAATGAATGAAAATGAACACGTCGTCGTTTTCTAGGATCAACCGAACAATTATCAAAAAATAGATCCATTAACATTGTTTTACCACAGCCAACATTGCCATGTAGATAAAGGCCACGATTTTTAACCGGTTGATTCGAACATTCTGATTCTGATTTAGATTTTTTTGACGATCCACCACCACCACCACCAAATAATGATGATAATTTCGAAACAATTAAATTTGATGGACTAGATTCGGATAAAATCGATGATGATGATAATGATGGTTGATAATCATTTAATTGTTCATCTAATTGTAATAAACGTTGAATAATAGCTGTTTGATGTGGATCATCATGAATCTGTTTCAAACGTACACGGCTTTCATATTCGATTAATATTTTTGATTTTGTAACTTTTTATTCAAAATAAAACAATTAATTAAAACAAACAGAAGAAATTTTAGATTTCAAATATAACTTACAATCAATATTTTTTGTAAAAATTGATCGTATCGATTGATCAAAATAACATTTATTTTGTTTAATCAAAGTAAATATACCAATTCGAAAAGACATTTTAAAAATTCAAACAAAAAAAAATTAACAAATAAACAAAAAACAGAATCAATCAATCGCGATAGATCGATATTCAATCGATGAAAGGCGGAATTTGTTTCTCTTTCTGCAATCGTTTGAAAAAAAAGGAATAATCTTTTTCTTTTTTTTGCCGCATCAATCGCTTCGATGGGTCAAATCAAATGAAGCAAGTTTTGTTTTGTTTTTGATGTTTGTTGTTGATGTCAAACACTATTGTTATTTCCATTCATAAACAATGTATTCATTTGAATTTTGTTTGTAAAAAATCAAAATTTAATAATTGATAATAATAATAATAATAATAGTCAATTTGTTATACAAATATGAATGAATTACAAATATTTGAAACAGAAAATAAAATTTCATTTAACATCAATATTTGTGAACGACAACAACAACAACAATAATAATGATAAAATTGATGAAAAAAATTTGATAATAATGGTGGTGGTGATTAATTATTATTATTATTATGAACACAAAATGTACAATATTGATTGATATTTATGGAATATTCATTCATTTCATTCAAGTTGTTGTTGAATCATTATTTATTTTTTCTTCTTGTTCTAACCAATCAATTAATTTTGATTCAATAAATTGTTTCCAATAAATATTTGAACGTATTTTTTCTAAACTTTGTTTAACAGCTGATTTACCTGAACCTAATGGTACATGACGAAAATAATGATCAACTTGATCATAATCAAATTTTGTTGAAAAATGCCATGTTGTTTCTGAAATAATTGTATCCAATGCAAATGAACCCATACCAAGTATATCGAAAATTTGTTGCCAATTTGAACGAATAAATTTCCATGCCATATCACGACCAATAGGATTTCTTGCTACATTTTGTATAACAAAATATGTATCCTGTGTACGAATTTTTGTCCGATTAAGTGATGATTGTAAATATTTTGATAATAAATAATGATTACGTGTTGATCCAAGTATACCTAATAATAAACGTTTTTCTGATGCAATCATTGTATTTAAATATTTTTGCCAACAATAATTCCATTCTTTATCTGATCCATATTCAATACCGGCACTATAAACAATATCTCGAATATTTGCCGGTACTGCTTTTTTTTCCAACATCCATTGACGAAAATAATATAATGCTTTATCTATTGATTGTTTATGGCCATAATAGACGGCAGCACGTAACAATATGGCACGAAGTTTTTTCTCAAACATTCCATCCGTAGGACGTTCATTCCAATCAAGTTGTTTAATCATTGGTAATATTAAACGTAATATATAACGATGTAAAAGGGGATTTTGTGGCATTACAGCATCGAATGTACCAAAATGTGTTAATAATGTTTCCCATGGTACATAATCTTGTTCACCATTTTCTATTCATTCATTGTTTTTTTTTCAATGAAATCAAAATAAACTAATTGTATTTTATAATCCATATAAATCTTACCCAAATATTTAGTTAAATTCATAGCAATTTCAACATCTAGATATCCATTACGCATCAATGATAATGCATCATCAATTAAACCGGCACGATCTGATGGTGAAAGTATATGGTTTTTATCATTTGAAGAATAAAGAATTTGAATTAATTGTTGCCAAATAGTTGGTTCATAATTAACACGATAAAAACCACTTTGTTTACGATTTAATTTAAACCATGAATTTTCTTTACGATTTAAATGTATTCGTTTTTGTGTAGAATTAAGCCAATAAACTTGATTTTGATTAATATTTGTTGATGTTATTATTGTTAATGGTACTATCCATGTTTGATTTATCATTAAAATTGATTGATTATCATTTAATTGTTGTTCAAATTCATTTGGACTTAATGATGATATAAAACGTTGTTGTTTAACAATAATTTCTGTACCATTTTTATTCCATTCAACCATTATTACTGGATATCCTTGTTGAAATATCCATGTATCCATTATAGCTGATACATTAATCGGTAATGATATTGAAACTTGTGAAAAACATTCCCATAATTGACTTGTACGTGTTGTTTGAAATTTATATCTATTTAGATAATTTTCTAAACCACTTTGTAGATTTTCAATACCCAAAAAATCAACAATCATACGAATTAAACATGATCCCTGTTTTGTTTGGATTATGAACAAATTAACATTTATTTAAGTAAACAAAAGAAAAAGAAAAAGAAAAAGAAAATGATTTTAAATTGAAAATCAAAATGAAAATGAAATAAAATGAAAAACCTTTTTATAGGAAATTAAATCAAAAATTCCTTCAATATCAGCCGGATTTATAACAGTTGTATTGATTGGATGTGAACTAAATAATGAATCTAATGCTAATGCATGTTGTGATGTTGATATTACAAATTGATCCAACATTCGCCTGAAAAAAATCAAAATCAAAACATAATAAGCATATCATTATTGAATTGAATTGATTGAAATGTTTTTTTGTTGATACAAACCATTCTGGATGAATAAAATCGACACCTAAATTTTCAACATAAGATGCAAAACCTTCATTTAACCAAAGATCATTCCACCAATTCATTGTAACAAGATTACCAAACCATTGATGTGCAATTTCATGTGCAACAACAATAGCAACCTGTTCTTTAACTTCACTACTTGAATCTTGTTCATTATATAATAATGCTGTCATACGAAATGTAATTAGGCCCCAATTTTCCATTGCACCGGCACCAAAATCTGGTACAGCAACCAGATCTAATTTTTTTAATGGATATGGTATCTTAAAGAAACGTTCAAAATATGCTAATATATGTTTGGTTGCATTCAATGCAAACATTACATTCTGTTCTTGACCAATTGGTACTAATGCACCAGTATGTATACCATTTATTGTTTCACCCGGTACAAATGAAAAATCACAAACAACAAATGCAATAACATATGTTGACATTGGTACTGTTGGTTCAAATTTTGATAATATTTTTGTTATTGTTCTATTTCCATTTCCATTTCCATTATCATCATCATCATTATAGATTATACGTTTTTCATCAATTTTTTCCGTATTAAAATATGCTTTATATTGTTCATCATGTACAATACTAAGCTGAAATGATGCTAAGGAGAAAAAAAAATATATTTTTTTTGTTCAAATTCAAAATTAATTTTATCATATCCATTTTTAAAATTAAAAAATTTTACCTTTCATAGCTGGTTCATCAAAACAAGGAAATGCTGTACGTGCTAATGTTGGTTCAAAATGTGTTGTCAATAAATGTCGTTTTATTTGTAATTTTTCATTAAAATAACTACTAACATAAAAACCTTCCAATTGATCTTCAATTTTTCTACAAAATTCTAAATAAAGACAATATTGATTATTAATCAATAAATATTGATCAAATTCAATATATAATTGTTCTAATTTAATACATTCACTATATTTTTGTATATTTATATGATTAGTTTGATTATTTAAATCTTTTATTGTTATTGATGTTATATTTAATTTTTTTGAATGTATTATTATAAATTTAGTTTGTTCATTAATCTTAAATCGTATCGATACATTTCCTTTATTAATTAATCGTTCAATATCAGGTTGCATAAATAAATCATAATGTTTTGGCTGTATAAAACTAGGTAATCGTACATTATTCCATGGAAATGTTTGATTATTTGTATCATAATAATTTAATATAAATTCATCTGATGTATTTTTTTGTTCATTTGTCATTCTTGTATTGATTATTGATTGTCGATCATTGTTGTTTCTGTTTGGATCACAATTATTTGTTGATGATGATGATGATAATAATGATGGCTGTTTTGTTGTTGAATAATGATGAGGAATTTGATGCTGATGATGATATTGATGTTGTGTTGTTGGTGAACGATAATCAGTTCCATTCATATTATTATTATTAGCTATGATTGATACATTCGATAATTCGGTATGTTTATTATTATCTTCACATTTAAATGTTAATATTAAAAAACTTTGAAATATTGCAGCCAATAAAATAAACAAAAATGTTGCAATAGCCATTTTAATGAAAAAGTTCTGACAAATTCTTATTGATAATGATGGTGATGATGTTGTTGTTGTTGTTCGAATTGATGTTGGAACAGTTTGTTGTTGTTGTTGTTGTTGTGATGATAATGTTTCCGATGATAATGGTATTAATGAATTACGACGATGTTGTCGATCATTTTGATGATGATGTGGATTATGATGATGAAGAATTGATTGCTGTGGTGATTCGAATATTGTTAATGGATGTTGTTGTACTGATGCCGTTGTTGTTGCCGTCGTTGTTGTTGTCGTAGTTGTTGATGATTGTGATTGTTGATGAGAAGTATTATTATTATTATTATTGAATGTTGTTGTCGATGATTCAGCTGTCTGTGATTGATTAATTTGATTGGCATTAGTTGTTACAGCTGCTGTTTCTACCACTGTTGTTGTTGTTGTTGTTTTCGCAATCGAATTATCAAAATCATTATTATTATTATTTGTTGTTGTTGTTAATGATGATATATTTTCATTATTATTAACATTTTCATAATAAACATTAGCTATTTGTTGTTGTTGTCGTCTTTGTCTTTGTCTTCTTTGTTGTTGTTGTTGTTGTTGATTATTTGAAACATTAATTAAATTACGTAATGATGATGTTAAAAAATTAATACTAAACCATCCATTTGATGTTGATGATTGTTGTTGTTGTTGTTTTGGTTGTTGTTGATTAATTGTTGTTGTTGTTGTTGCTAGAGAATTGATTGTTTCTTGATCATCTATCGAACTATTATTTACATCAATCATTATCATTTTGATTATCGAATCATTTATTTGATTATTTAATAATTTTGGTGATTTAGGTGGTGAACATTTACTATTTGTTGTTGCATTTGATAATATTGTTGCATTAGTTGTTGTATTTAATGTTGTTGATGATGATGATTTTGATATTGATGATGATGATGATGATGTTTCATGGAAATCATAGGTTGAACTAATCATATTTAATGGTGAAGAACAATTATAGTCATCTTCATCATCATCATCAACAACAGCAACAACATCTTTTTGTTGATAATTGTTATTCATTGATTTAATTGTATCTGTCATCGTCATCATCATATTATCATTATTATTATTGAAATTTATTTCCGTTCTCGATGTTTTTGATGTTATTAATGGATCATGATTGATTGATAATTGTTTTAATAAATTATTATTATCATCATCATCATCATAATCATTATTATTTGACAACAATGAAGATTTATTTAATAATAAATTGGTCATCATTTCCGTACAATTATCATCCTCATCATCATTATCATTATCATTATCATTATTATTATTATTATTATTATGTTTGGTTGTCGACCTAGATAATGTATTCAACAGCATCATCATTATTATCATTATACGAATTAAATCATGACCAAAAAAAAAAATCAAAATCAAAATCTAATTAATTAATTAATTAATTAATTGGATTGATTAATTTCATTTGATTGAAATTAAAATTGTTTGAAAAACACTGATTGAAAAAAAAAACAGAAACAAAACATAAACTGTTAATGAAATTGAAATCAAAATCAAAATCAAAATCAAAATCGAAACAAACTTAACTGCACACATTATAAGACAACTTTCATATTAATGTAATAATGAAAGGAAATTGAATATAAGTAATAGGAACAAGAAAAACAAACAAACCAAACAAAACAGATTATTAATTCAATTCAAACTATTTGAAAAACAACATCATTTAAATTGTCGATCAAAACGACAACGACGACGGCGACGGCGACGATGATCAACGAACGACAACGACGACCACGACGAATCGTCCATCATGGTTCTTCTTCTTCTTCTACATTTACATTACTGCAGTATATACAAACACAAAAAACAGTATATATTGGACAATATATGCGTGGGCGTCTTGAAGTAGCATCCATGGTCAACCAGAAAAAAAAAGAAATAAAATAAAATGCTTTTTCTTTGATCTAAAGATGCTTATGATGATGATGATGATGATGGACTAATAATGTGTTCGTATCTTCTTATTATTTTTTTCGGTTGAATTTTGATGTTGATGTTGATGTTGATGACAAACACATATTTGAAATTCACTTTCTTTGGAAAACATCATCATAATCATCATAATAATAAATGATGTTTAATGATCATCATTCATCATCATTTGATCTAATATTCTCTTTTTTTCAATGAAAGAAAATAAGGAAATTGGCTATTAGCATCGATATTCAAAAAAAAACAAACAAACTTAAACATCACATCACATTAGAGAGACATACACGCAAACATTTACCATATATAAAAATCAAAATTGAATTGGCCAAAAAAAAAAAAATAGGAAAAATGTTTGAAATGAACCAAAAAAAAAGAAGATTTTTTCCATTAAAAGATTCTTTTGATTTGGTTGTGTCAACGAGAAAAGTAAATCAACAACAACAGCAAAACAAACAAAAAAACAAACTTAAAGAAGATAAATAAAAACGATGAATCAATGAATGAATGAATGAATGTAAAAAAGATTGCTTTAGATATTTTTTTTTATTGGAATCATTCGAAAAAAAGAATTTTTGATTAGAAAAAAAAATCAACAACAGCAGCAGCAGCAGCAACCAGAATTCAGAATCCAGAATAATAAGAACAAATTCTTCAAAAGAAGAATATTATTTGCTATCATTCATCATTCACCATCATCAACATCATTGAATAATAATTTGATTTTAGATCATATATATCTCTCTATGGACCATTTCTCTTTTCTCATTTAATACATACCATGTGTTTCTATCATTCTTTTTATCTCTCTCTCTCTTTTTTTTGCTCACTTATTCTGGAATTCTTCTTCAAATCTAATGTCCAGTTCAAAATCATAAAATGAATGGAAATGAATAAATTTTTTTCATCAATTCAAAATGATGCTGAAAACATCTTTGCGTGTTCAATGATATTAGGATGAAACAAAAATTGTCCTTTTTCAAATTTTTTTTTCAGTATTGTTTTTTTTTTGAATGTAAATTATTAATGGATAAGATTTTCATTTTGTTTTACTCATTTTGAAAAAATTAGTACAGATGTTTATTCTATAGGGAACAATAACAACAACAAACTAAACGAAACAAAATGAAAATGTAACATAATTCTTTGTTTTTTGGTTTTTCTCTCAAATTAACAACCAACCAAATAACCAAATAACCAACTAACCGACCAACCAACCAAAATAATTTAATCTAAATTGTTATTGTCAGCAATAATTTTCTTCAACTAAAACAAATAAAAGAAATGTAACACAAGGATTAACGCACAAAGAAAGAATTTTTATTTGCGAAAAAAAAAATAAACGAAGAAACCGACTGGACATAGAATAACAACAACAACAACAACAAAACGATTATTGTTTTGGGAAGTATTTTATTTCGAAGGAAACAAACAAACAAACAAACAAACAAATTACTTCTCTCTCACACACACACACACACACACACATTGAACACATCAATATCGGAATTTTTGTTTGTTTGAATTAAATATAACTATAGAATGAACATTTTATTGTTGTTCGGTAGTTTTGTTTTTCATTTTTCTCTGATGATTATTATTACAGCATTTTATTATCTTGAAATTTTATTATTATTGAACGAATTTTATTGATTTTTATTTATTTGTTTGGTTGGTTTGGTTTGGTTGTAAATTTTGTTTGTAAAATTATCAATTGATTGATTGATTGATTGATTTTGGTTCATGCGCATGCAGATTTGATTCAAAAAACAAACAAAAAAAAAAAAAATTAATTAATTTTTTTTCAGATAAAAATTTATTGATTGAATTTTCGCCAATATTTGATGACAAAATCTAATTATTGAATGAAAAAAAACATGAATAATTTGATCCGCTTTCCAAAAAAAAAACAATATACCAAATATGAAAAGTTTATTGAATTTAAAAAAAAAACGAAAAATAAGTGCCTTTTTGTACATGTGTTTGAATCGAATTTCATTTTCATTTTCATTGAAAACAATCGAGAAAAATTCCAACAAAACTTATATAATTTTATTCAATTTTCTAAGTTGATGTATACAATGAACGTAAAACAAATCAAACATCATTGTGATGTAAGAATCAATAAATTTTGGTCACTGAATACCAAAAGTGAGAGAGAGACCAACACCAAAAAAGCTGTCAATTTTTGGTTGCAATTTTCAATTGCAAAAATGACAATCTAAATCAGTAAAAAAAACTTGAAAAACAAAAACGAATCAATGAAAATTGATAGCATAAATGTCTCTGATGATTTTTTTTCTTCTATTTGCCATTTATTATTTGGCAGATGTTATCACATTATATTCAAATGAATTAATATCAAGTTTATTTTAACAACAACAACAAACTCTACACTACTCCATATTCTCTAGTTACTGATTTTGATTCTTGGTTGGTTGGTTGTTATGTTATTAAGTGTATATTGTTTTTTTGTTTTGTTAATGATTTTTTTTTCTTCTGATTAAATTGTTGCAAGTTTTTTTGTTTTGTTTTGTTGGAATGACGACAATGAAAAATTGTTTTTTGTTTTGCATAATCATTTTCAATTTTTTTTTCTGTAAGCAACGATGCAATTATAATTATAATAATATCGTTTTTTTTTGTTTTGCTTTTGGAATAAATCAATGAATAGATAATATTTAATGAAACAATGTTTCTACGCTGATGATGTTATTGACAACAAAAAATTCCAACAATATTTATCCGAACAACAAACAAAACAAAACAAAATGATTAATTAATTCAAAACATGATACTGATTTGATGAGGATTTTTTTATTATTTTTCCAACAACAAAAAAGATTCTTAATACATTATTATTATTATTAGTTTGTCGATCGATCACAAAAAAAAAAATGAAAATAAAATATTTCGTTAGATTAACAAAAAAAAAATTAGAATAAAATGCATTCTTGGATTATTTCATTCATTCATTCATTCAGTTAATCATTTCCGTTTGAGTTAATGGTTCCATATCGCCATCTGTTGACGTCGTTGCTGTTGATATTGATGATGAATGATGATTTGCTGTTGACGATGATGATGAACGATTAAATAATCGATTAAAAAAATTTGTTAATATTTGTAATAATGGCCATCGCCAACATGCAAAATAATTTTGATGATTATTATTATTATTATTACAATTTGAACAACAATTATATTGATTATTATTATTATTATTTGATTGATTTGTATCATTAATACGATGTTGTTCATGTTCATCTTGTATTAAGCTAAAACGATAACTTGATAATGAATCTAAATTATTATCATCATCATTATCATTAAAAATGGCAATTAAAAATCTTGATAATTGATCATTTGACCAGGTAAAATCAACACGAACAGTACGTTGATTTGAACGATGTGCATAATAATCTTTAATTGTTTCATATGAATCCATTAATATAGCAATGAATAACGATAAAACAACATAAATGAATAATAGTACATAGCTATAAAGATAGAATCTTGAAAACCACCAAACAAATAATGATGTTGATTCCAAATAGGCAAATGTTGCAAAAACATCATCACCATTCATCAATGCAAACAAACATTCACTTGTACGTGCAAGCGTATAGAATTTAAAATGATATGGTCCAAGTATAATCCAACCACTAAAACAAAATCCACCATACAATACTAATACGCATAACATAAAACGTAAAACTCTTGATAATGAATGTTTGATTGTTACCAATAGTATATTATATTGATCAAAAAATGTTAGATAACGTAGTATACCAAACCATACCAATAAAAGTCCAACACCTAATAATGCTGAACAAAGATTATCCCATTCGATTGGATGAATCGAATCAATACGATGTGGTCCAATCAAATCGAATAATCGTAACAAATTAATAATAGTACCAATCATTAATAGACAATCATTGAATACAATCATTAGAATCCAACCATCAATGAAATGTAATGAAGAATGTGTATCCAAACTACGTTTATAGGCAACAGTAAAAAAACGATTCGTTTCTTTACGAAGTGATTGAGCATTCATTAATGTTCGTAAACATAATATTAACGACATTGAACACAAAAATAATACAATCGTATTGATTACGATAGTTATTTCATGTAATCGTGTTGCATGATTATATGCTTTCAGGTTACCTGTTATTTAATAATAATGCAGAATAATTAATTATCAATCAATTTATAATGATAATAATAATAATAATCAAAATACATACCATTACAATTAATAAGTAATTTATTCAATGACATAGTGATTGCTATTTCACCTGAATGTGGTCGATTATTAAAATTAATAGCCAGATTTAAATCATAACATCTTGGTATATTTGATGTAGTCAATGTATTCAATAGAATAACACGTAATGGAAATCTAATCGATAAATGTATTAATGATTCAAATTGTAATTGTTCTGGATGATGAATTTGTAGATATTGTTCGAATGAAAAATTTTTCCATTCATTTGATCCAGATGGATAAAGATTTTTAATTGTAATAAATTGTTGATCAATACGTGTATCAATAAAATATTCACTTGTTGTTGGATTTAATGTTACATTCATATAACGTTCAAAACATGCTGTTATTGTTGACATTCTATTTGTATTATTATTATGATGATGATGATGATTATGACTATTATTATTATTTGAATGATGATCGATACGATAACCAAATGAACCAAGTGCTAAATTTGACATGTTTGCATAATTTTTTATAGCATAATCAATATGTCTATAAACTTTAATTTGAATTAAATTGGATTAGTTAGGCTTAGTTTTTTTATGTAAAAAAATAACTTACCATCATCTTTAGTATAGACTGCATATGGTCCAATATTTGGTGGAATTGTTTGATGATCTAATGATGAATCCCAATGTAATAGGAAAAGATCATGCAATGTCATTAGCTAAAAAAATCAATGGATCATTTAAAAAAAGATTTTTTTTTCAAATTTTCAATTCACTCACCATACTATTATCAGCCATACGAATTGAATCGGTATTATTACCAAATAAAATAACCTGTGTTGTAACCAATATAATTTTAATAATTTGTAATAATAATTTCCATGGAAATCTTCCTTTAATTTTCCATTTATCAATTGGTGACATAAAATGATAACGAAGACGACGTCGTAAACGATTACGATATTGTTGTAGACCAGAATTATTATTATCGATTGACCATTCATTTGTTGTTGTTGTCGTCGGTTGTGTTGTTGAATTATTTTTTCCATTATCATTTAAAGATTGTTGTTGTTGTTGTTGTTGTGACAAATGTTGATGATAAGGATAATCTGATGATGATGGTGGCAATGTAGTAATATTTGAATTTTGAAAAAATTGATTCGGTGTTGTCATTGTAATTGGATTTATAGTGGCCATCGGATGATGATTATGATGATGATGATGATTGTAACCATGAATTGTCGGCACCGCCGATGATTCAGATGATGAATTACGTAAACGTTTTGAATTCTGTTGTTGTTGTTGTAATGATAATGATATCGGTGGTGGTTGTTGTTGATGATTAGGTGGTGGTGATGATGATGAATTTAAACTGGAAGATTGTTGTTGTTGTTGAAAATTTCTTGTAAAATAATTTGATGATGATAATGATGATGATGTTGTTGGCATCATATTGGTCATATCTGTATTTGTACTACGGCCAATAATATCGATATCATCATCATCATCATGGACATTGTCGATTGATTGTTGTTGTTGAACATCTTGAATCAAATTGTCATCATTATTATTATGACAATTTCTTTGTTGTTGTTGTCGATTTGATACGACTGCATGAACACTTTCAGACATTTTTGATTCAAATTTACTTTAATTTGAAATCGTAAATTCGATTGATGTGTGTGCGTTATGTTTGTTTTCGTTCTTTTTTCAATTTCAATGTTTCTGAATCCGAAAAAATGAATGAATCATTTAAAGGTACAAAAAGAAACAAGCTTGAATGATGAATCTTCGGAAGAACTTTGAATTGAACTATTGAAAATGATAATATACTTCCTTAATATGATTAATGGTTTTTTTTTCAATTTTTCATCAATGTTTACCATCGTTATCATTATCATTATCATGAGGAAGAAAAAAAGGGGGTGATCAATACCAATTCAAACAAAACGGATGAAATTTGAACCTATATATCATTTCTATTTTAAAAAGAGAGAGAAAAAAACCAAAAAAAAAAATTACATAAACAACAACCAAAATTTAAAAAAAAATTACGCATTACCTTATTTTTTCCAAATGAAAATCAGATGTAAACAGGCAAAACAGAAAAACTTTTTTTTACTGGTAAATTCAGTTATCCTTAATTTTATTTTTGTTGTTTATTTATTTATTTTTGTATAAATTCTATTTACATGATTTTGTTTTTGTTTTTGTTTTTGTTTAGTTTTTGTTGTCATTGTGATGCAATGACAACAACAAAAAAAAAATAAAAATACGACGCATGTCCAAATCGAAAATTTTTGTTTTCACGAATGTTTATACGTTACAAGTAAATTGGTATTTTTTTTCTTGTTGCAGACTATTCTACGGACTGTTAATACACTGCCAACACTGATGGGAAATTTGCAACAAAAAAAAAAAAAAAAAAAAAAATTGGTTGTTTGTTTTTGATCCGGTTGTTTTAAATTACTGCAAATCAGGATTCTTGAAAAAAAAAAAAAAACAGAAAA